GCGATGGTAAGTTCTGTTGTCTTGTCCTTCAGGATCATAATTGTTAATTTCATAGGACAAAGTTTAACTACAAATATATGACCAAGAATCACGGTATGACCAAGCACAAAAACGAGCTATCTTGTTGCATCTCTCCTAACGTGCCTGTTCTGCCTGCGCCTTTCCGGATTCGTATCTCTTACAGTTAGCGTTTGTTTATTTCTTCGTCAAATAATAAATAGAACAAGCCAAGCACCGTAAACCTGCCGGATATTGTAGGACATTTTTATCCTCGCAGGTATTTGCTGCTCAGCATTCATTCAAGCAGCTCTACGAGAAACATTATTAAAGAAAACCTGCTGATATTGAGTTGAAATTTCAACATTCGAAGAAGGAAACAAAACATCCGAAGCACTCAACTCTCTCGTTTACCTTTGTTAGGCATTCTTCCAGACAGCTGGCTGGAATAAGTTACCCATTAAACTACCACGGAGACAGGCTGAATTAGTTAACTTGAATAGAACCGTTTTGCTTCCAAGTGCTTCTTCTAAAGCAACGCTCATGGTGTATATATGTTTGTCATCAATATCAAACATCGTCACCACGCGGCATCTTAATTAACGATACTTCATTATTTATCCTAAAAAATCTTGACCTTATTACTACTAATTTCGTTCACATTATTACTTATGTAGCTGTTTGTACAATACGTTGTAAATTTCTGGTCTAATTTTTCGGGAAGTCTCGCTTTCAAACAGACATCGGTCGAATAGCGGCCGGCAAACAATTCTTTTATAAGAATATTGCTTATACATGACGACAATTTTTACAGAGTCCAATAGTAAATCTTTCGATTTCACAGGAACTCCTTGTTACAAACAAAACATGTGGATTAGATTTAAGCCAACAGTCTGCCCTACACGTCACCCGTAGGAGAACCGCTGTAGAAATTATTTGAGCAGGCTTAATAGGAGCAGTTTAGAAAGACCAAACGGATGGAGAGATCACTACAGTTACAGCTTTGCCTACTACTCTAATATTATTATTGGAGGATCAAAGCATTACTATACTCGGATTCAAACCTGCATCGCCTACATATGACATGCATTGGTAGGCAAACACGCCCCACTGCAATAACACCTGCCAGAACTGAAAACGAGCCCTTAATATATATTTTGTACAATTACTACGATTAATTCGAGATAATTTCTTCGTCAGTGTTAGGTACACAAATGATAATGTGCGTTTACGCTGTCCAAAAAGAATGCTAATTAGAAATTAGTCCTGTATTTTTTCAAGGTTTATCCCGAATTAGCCTAAATTTTTATTTCGAAAAACTGCAAACTCATAGGCAGGAGAGGCTGCTGCCACCGGATCATAAAACCGGGGGTCATCCTCGTCAAGTTCTTCAACTCCCCAGAAAATCCAGTTTCTCGCACGGGAATATAAAACGCCGTGCGTTGCCCAGGGTATCACGATGCGTTTTCTGAACCTACCACATTACCCAACCGTGACATAACAATCTGTTCTTTCTCCTTGAAGACCTCCTATACCAGAGTTCCATGTGCATAGTCTCGTGGATAAATGATAAAGGATGTAAAACTTCTAAAGCCTTTACCTAGGGACAATCTCATTTCCCCTATTATGTGTTTTTCTCTAGTAAACGCATGAAAGTCGCCAGTGTGTGACATGCCGTACTTTCCAAGCCCGTAATGCAAGCGGCACAGATAGATGTCCAACGGAATTTGATCAATTTTGTGAAGAAAGCTTTGAAAAAAGGCTTCGTGACCTATGAAAACCTGCGTGAGGCAGTAATCGAGTTCTTCGCCACAACGTGCGATGCTGGCCTCTACGTCAGGAACGATGTCTTTTACCGCCGCTTCCGGAGCGATATTAGGTATTGCCTTCCACAATCCTTCCTTTAAAACATTCCCTTCCGTACCATACGTCGGATCATGCCAGAGTATGCGGCTTTCTTTAACTCTCAGATCTCCGGAAATTGTGCCAGCCAGGATCAATATTGCATTTGTGCTAGCCTTCGGCAGGCTTGGATCACCTCACGTGCAAGGATATGCCGGGTGCAGCCAAGTAGCCTCTTGACTTCCATAGGTTCAAGAGAAGTCCATGCAGGTACTGGCGTGAAAAGCCTCCTCCTACTTTCCCGTCATCCATGGATATTTGGCAGTGGTCTGGGAATTTCCATAAAAGGTCTAGTCGTTTTTGTGACGACTGGCTTGATGTAGTCCACTTTCCTTCTTGCGTGATCGAGTTGGATGCTCAGGCATATCGCCCTTTTTATCAGATTTATTCTTGTCCCTTCCAAAGTGAGTGTGAAACACTGGCATTTTTCCTGCCGATGAGTAGTGTAGTCTCTGATTTCGCAGGGGCCAAAGATAGGCTTCTTTCATCCGTATCAAGATTCTTTTCAGAATCCAGTTTGCTCTCCTTCTCTACAGTCCTAGTCCCTGTTATAATGAGGAAAGTCATCACTACAGACTGCAAAAGTTTCGCTTTGGATAGAGGTTTACATCAGTGTTGGATGAATTTCATTGGCGATACACTAGAGGGCGCCGCGGTCAGTTCGAGGGAGGGTGTCGTCAATGGGACAGTCATATTGGTTCCTGGTAACGCTGACATTACTATCGATAATTACTATTTGAAATATTATTGTTACTATTATTATTAAATTATAAATTAATTGTGCGTGTTAAATATACATATATATATATATATATATATTATACGATCTATCAGGTGAGAAACACGGGAGAAGTTAAATAAGATAACTAAACAAAAATAATAAAAAGCACAGATGAAAAGAAAGAAATATTGATCTTTATTATTTTACAGAAGTGTGACGTTGAAATTTTTGGCCGTCCAGGCTCTTTGCATACGATAGGACGGGCACGCTAACGGGTAACACTGAACCTATCAAACGTAATGGAACCTTTGAGTGAGTTTAAAAGCCAGAAATTGGTTTGGACAAACCCTTTGCTTTTGACGACAATCTGAAATCAATTTAATTAAAAAGGTATTGGCAAATGGCCAACAGAAAAACGATAACTTACGCTGCTATAGATAAAGATAGTAATATAAATAAAAGCAAAATATAGCCTTTTTTATGTCGGCTGTGCACACACCTACCGAAGAAATGCGGTGAACCATATTCTAAATTAAACTCATTAAAATCCTGCGGAGCAAAACTCGGTTAAGAAAACGGGATATAATATCATTATTGTTATATTATTAATAGAGGGCTCTTGAATGGTTCCCAGGGTTCCACTGGGACAGATTAAACATGGTAACAGATCATTTGTCATGAAAAAAGAATGCCGGTGTCTAACTGGAAGCTCTTCCGTATCAATAGATAAAGCTGCTGGGTAACTCAGACAACTCTACTATAGAGTATGATGCGTTTAATCCGCCACGATTGATAATGAAGCTCTTAGTTAGTCCGCAACAGGCCCGCGCACTGCTTGAAAACATGTGTAGCTTACGGATAAGATCAAATGCCAAAAAGTACAAAATTTTATGATTAATCTGCCATTTTTGGCACACAAAATCCATTTCAACGAGGGTAAACGAGTAATAAAGTTTCAGTTTTCGGGAAACAGAGTGCTACATCTGCCATAGCGCTTATCGAAAATGCTCCCTCAGACCGTGGGCAACATGAGGAAGAAAGAGGACACAGGAGGGCGTCAAGGCAGCGGAAACCTGACGACGAAGCATAGAGCGACGCTACACACCAACATAGATCATTCTATCGATGCTTTTACTGTGCCAAACATACAAATGGTATTAAATATAGTATAACATTTTGTCGAGCGGATACTCTTACGGCGGCTATGAATATCGGAGAAGATCGATCCAGTCGGGCCTTGGATACGGGCGACACAAAGGACATTGTGAGCCTGATACACGACACGTCCGCTGAGCTAATCCCTCCTTTTTCGGCTAACCAATACAGCGATGACCATCTAGACTTACATACGTTGCTATAATAAACAGTTAATACGTGAGGATAACGACCATCACGCCGTACTGGTCTGCTTGCTTGTGTGTAAATTGATAAAATTAAGTAGAAAGAAAAAAAACCTCCTTTCATATAAATAAAGACGTTCAACGAGTGATTTGAGCGAGATTTGGAAACATTTGTGGCTATGCCCGTTTAAATAAGCGAATTTTGATGCTCTGAACGTTCCTAATCGGCTGTCAGCCGCTTATGAACGTTCAGAGTTATTATCTCACAAATTGTTCTGCCAGTACGTGTTACTTGCCAGAGGAGTTTCTATAGTGCGGTAAATATGTAAGCCTGCTGTTTAACGCGAAGAAAAGTGCATTGAATCTATAGGCGTTACTGATTATGTAAAGATTCTATTACATTTTGCATAAGGTTTCCATGGAGATAGGAACTAGGGTCCAGGACGGGGAGCACCCTCATTGAAGTTTGTGCCTACGTAGATGTGTATGGCACAGAGTTTACATGGCCATTCATAAGTGAGGGCTGGCTCCCTTCTTGAAATGAAACAGCATGCAAATGGGGTGGGTTACGTTTGTATTTTAGCGGCTTTTCAGGCGTCAGAAACTGCTCGTCACGTTTGTCGTCACAATATTTTGGCTGACGGGAACTTGGTACTTACACGAACACAAGTGGGAACGAATACACTATTCTACAAATGATGATGAGATATATTTGCGTAGGTGTCTGAGATTGGGGTAATCTTGATCGGAGTGCTTTCAGTCTTATTCGACATTTCTCTGAATAATCGGTTGATGATCGGTCGAGTTCCAAGTGGTCTAATTTATGTAGATTTGAGTAGAAAATTTCGCTATATAAATCGATGATTCGAACAAGGATCGAGGTAGGCGTTAATCAATTGAAAAAAAATAGATTTCATTTCCAGTTTAATTCAAATTCTGTATTAAGTTTATTATGAGATATGAGAAATAGCCTATAAAGCCTATATATTTCTAATTGGGCTAAACTCACGCTGGACGCTACCAAATCTAATTAAGGTGTTGCAGTTTTCTATAAGATTCTCCGATTATGGCGTTCTTAATACTAATAAGGCAATGCCACTTAAACTTAAGTTACTGAATTGGAAGCAGAGACAGGTGGATATATTTTCCTGTGCAAACAATTCCTGTTATGAGATCTGGGTCTTCATAAATGTTTGATAGGTCTAATGAGCTCGGTGACAAAGGGTTTTCCAATTGTGTTTGTGAATCCGCTCAATTTTCATGCGTTTTGATTGGATATCATTTGTGCTTTGCTTTCGTAATGACCAAATTTGTCTCGGCCTTTCATTTTATTACTTTTTTTTTTTTAGCTTTACTGTATTTGTACGTAGAGATCAAACTGTGCACTTTTATTCAAGGTTGAGTGCTACCTTAAGTGCGTGCATAAGTCAAAATAACCAACGCTCCTGCAATCGAGGACAGGCCAGCTGTCAGGCTTCGTTCCTTTGCAACCTTCCTGCCTTGCCTTGTTTTGTTCACTGATGTTCGACCGATGCTTGATAATGTCATTTATTTGACGGAGACATCGTGTACAACGACAAGAATGCTACCTTCTACCTTCATGATGTTCTAGACACCGTGCGTAGCAAGAATTCCAACACCGAATCATCCAACGAAGTTTTTCTTCTGTGTTCATTCTCCGTTCGACAGATAGATAGATAGATAGAACCCCAGGCTGGCTAGAAATGAATGGTAACCTACGTGGTTGTTGCTCAAGCTCGATCGGGGAGCATCGCCACACCTTGTTATCGATAAGTGCAGTAATTCAGTAAGTTCAATTGAACTTGAATACGTTCATGTAATAGAATCAGGCTAAATATCGTTGCATAAGCTGTTAGGGCGCCGAAATCCTTCTTGGCTGGTTTATGACGTATCAAGTTTGGCCTCTGATTATTCCCGTCATGTTCTCCGACGTGTTATGATCATCTTATTATATAACATGCTGTACCTAGCGATTTTGCTACTAACTATTGACTGTATTGTTTTGGTAACCATGGCACAAACTTACCGCATTCAAATGGTCTCTTTCGCTAGATTGTAAACTCCGTAAGGTTTAGATCACAGTAACGATACGTTTGACTTCTGCTGCAACATAGTGAAAAGTCACAGTATTTACATCGTTTTCATCATGCTACAACAAGTGATCTTGCTACAACAAGTGTTTAGAAAAAAAATGTGGGAATGTCGTTTTCTGAGCCGCGGCATAAATGTCAGTCAGGAACAACTTAAAATGGAGTAAAATAAGGCCCTTATATCTAAAACTGAAAGCTGGCTAGGTGACAACGACAAACTGCTATAAACATTTTTGTTTGATATATAGACAGAGCTTAGTCTACATCAGACGGAGTAGCCTTCGATCATAAATCCATATGATGCTAAATTCTGAAGCAGCGCTTAGCAATGAAAGTGGTCGGATTAGATATAATGACCTTTTTGCGAAAGCTTTTTTGACAAGGACGGAGGCTAACATTGTGTTTGAAAACAAAAACGGCGAAATTACGTGTTTATACACTATTGTTGCAAGTATCAACCATCTGGTTTCAATAAGCAGACATAGTGACAAGTGCTGGTTCCAATAATTCTATGAAAAACGGTGCGCAAAAACAATGTACTTATTGTTATTTTAAATGGGCCAAATATACCTGTGATGTTACTGTGGGGGGAAATTTAGGAACTTGGGCGTTATGCCAGACCTGATTTGATTATATATTACCACCAAGTTTTAAACAAATTCGAAATGGTTTCAGCAGAAATATATCTAGACTTTTCGAACAGCATACTTACGGGTAAGAACACATGTTGTTTTTATGAAATATCACCGCATCCAGTAAATAATCTATAGCACTGACGTTAGAGCTTGTTCCTGAAGTTAATGGCGGGCGAATGAACGCATGGTTCAATTGCAGTGAATCTCCAAAAACATCCATCGACCAGACGAGGTACTTATATGAAGGATTCAACATAAATATCCATCTATCACGGAATCGTTGCCGTCGTCTCGGTGCCTATGAACGGTATTGCGTGAGTAGCAAACATGGGAGCTGTACTCAATTTTCCCGATGCAATTTTCTTTTGATATTTGCAAAGGTTGGCTGCATCTGTGATCTGCAAGTGTTCTCTGTGTACACGCTCGGGCAGCTAATGAGGCAGAATGATAAGTCTATCTTGATCTTATTATAAATTTTTGGACTCTGCATTTTTATATGCTTCAATGTAATAGTGCTGTATCCTCTAAGATGAAGCGGCACCATTTCGTCCCCTACCAAAAGGGTCCCTTACAGTATCCTAACCCTTCCTGTTACGGCCTCAGTTGTTGAAGCCCCATTTGCGGGCCTATTGAAAAGCTATGATTGTTCGAATTTCTTCGACTGGCGGAGCGTGAAGTAGGACAGCGCGGAGTTCTCATACGTCCAACAGAAGCCAGCATACAAGCCAATGACGGCGACAGATGTTGAAATTGATGTAGCAGCGTTCAAGATTGCGGTTGTCTCTCCTAATACCTGCATCCAAGCGAAATACGTACTAGCGTGTGTGTACATCTGTAAGCGTAACGCACATGGTAAAGCAATGTCTAACGCATTCGTTTTGACTGAACAACTATTGAAGTTAATGACGCTTGACTGATGTTGGATGTACGGAGCTAGTACGTTCAGCGACCCCGGTCACGGCAAAGGGATAGTTTAACGTCGGTAGCCAGGAACGATAGACACGGCCAGCATTACCGGAATAAGTGCTTGTTTTGCAATAGCAATTATAAAGGCTTGGGAGTATTTTAGTCCGAATTGGATAGAGATGTTCGACGCCGGGGGTTCAATGCATTTGGGGCAGCACTAATATAAGAAAAAATTAGAACTTTCTGAACAAATGTTTCGAAAAAGGCTTTTTTTTTTTAATCTATTGCAGAGAATATGCTGTAAGTGAACAATCCGCCTCAAACGGATAGATACAGTGGGTTTGGTGTATGGTCCAGTATGGCTCCATGAACTACGTGAGCACCTGACACGTTTTAATCATCAGGAAAACAGAGCCTACGTTACGTAATTTCTCTTTTCTATTGCAGACCTTCCTTTTTCTGAATAGATACTCAAAATAAACATGTATATATTAAAAGTCGACCCTAAAAAAAGCTCTGCTAATATATTTTGTCCCTGTTAGCCGGAAGTTAGCCTAAAACCGGCAACAAATAGGACCTAAGGATATGTCAAAAAGTCCACGTCGTAGACGCCAACGATATAACTCAAATTAACCAAGCGAGGCCGCATGAAAGAAGCGAGGCTAAATCTTTTGTTGACTATTGCGTATATTTAATGTGTTATACATGTCCATATGGCCAGCATTAATGTTTCATTGAAGGTTAATTAGGACGAGAGCACGCATATTGTTTTCTACTAGGGAAATCGTGATGGGGCAGATATGGATAGAAATAAATGGATGGGTTTGTTAATAACCTTCCTTTGAAGTGGTATTACAGTGAGTCGTCAATAGAGTGTTCAGCAATTCTCCCTGTACGAGAACGAGTGGAAAAAACCCAAAGCTATGCTTTCTAGTCTTTATTCGTGGTGTTTTTAGTTACTTAATAACATAATAATTTAACTAAGCTTTTAGTTTTGAGATGCTGAACGTAGATCAACGTAGCGATCTTTATGTTTGCATACTGGACAAAAATCGCAAACACGGTATAATAATAATAAACTACTTTAAGAATAAAATAAACTAGTCAGTATAATAGGTTATATATTAGGTGTCCGACCGTCAACTATTTCTAATAATTTGCCTGTACGAAAAATATATCTCTAAGCTTTTTCGACCGCCTCTTGACGAGAGATTTGCCTAGGCAGGTTGTATGGGAAAATTACAGGCTTTTTATCAGTTTTTTCAATGTTTTTCATCAAGTTAGGCTAATGCTAAAAAACAAACCTGAGTGGATTGGCTAACAGTGCTGTTACTTCTGTTGTTGAGGTGCGCCGGACCGGCTATACGGTTAACTCCAGAGCCGCTGGGGTTGCAGCGATCAAAAGTTATCCTCGCTTTTAGTCTTATAAGCAGTAAGTTGATATGTATGCCCACATAAGTGTACATATGCTACGGCGCGTCTATAACAAAGGACGGATATTTCTGTTATTATACTATGCTTCTTTTTAGTCCTGTGTCCTTATATAAAGCATTAGAAATGTCGCTTAGCCAATGACAGGTGTGACAGCTACTCAGACTCTGTATAGCGTCGTACTAGTGCGTAGAGCAGAAATATTCTCTATTCGTATATTTTCCGTATATATTCTATATACGCATGCGTATATATAAGCTACGAAGTGTTCTAAATCAATAAGGTTGGGATAAGGAAAAAAGCATGTTCCTATATGTGCCCCGACTGTGCCAGGGATACCTGAAGTATCAATTTAAGACGAAACATAGAAAACAGTGTTAGTGTTTTATATTAGGCTAGCAGATCTCAGCGATGAGTAAATTAAGCAGTAATTAAAACATAACCATTAACGGGACAAATGCGCTTAAGCAGAATAGCGTCATATTTTCCCCTGCCGAATCGTCGAGAGAGAGAGAGAGAGAGAGAGAGATCCCGACAAAACTTTGTATCTGTGAAATCGCTTATGTTTATCGGAAGTCTCCTCACGTTTTATTGCCTCTTTTGGTGCGCATCCTCTTATCCTCTCGAATGAAGACCCATCCTCAAACTCTGTGGGGTAACGGGGGCGAGAGGGTGGCGTCGGGGATGTAAGCGATAAAGCGTCATTTGCGTTCATCAAAGTTTTGCGTCGTTGTAGTGAAACGCCAAAAGAGTTAGGCCCAGTGGGCTCTAGGTTGGCTGAACAGCGTTCGAGAACCGATCGCAACAGAAGCGAGAGGCAAATAATGCTGATGAGCATCCACGAAAGGAAAATGCCCTCTTCCTGTTTACAGCTGTGTAGGGACTCCAATATTCCCACGAGTGATTTGAAAAATTTGTCAACGTCATGCGAGCATACGTGCTTACGCGTGTGTTACAAATAGTAGGATCAAACGAGCAGCGCTTGAATATACTTGGAAGGTATTCAAGAAATATATGCAAGGGCTTGGAATCGGCAAACAGGCTTTCTTTCATAAAATGCTCGACAAAAGGCCACGGACGGATCAACATGCATTTTAAGGGGCTAGGTTACTAACCGTGATCATCAACGTGCTGCAACTGCATATATACGACAACGCCTATGTGTATATACGTATAATTCTCGCATCCACTATACAAATTCCCCAAACTAGATGAATCAAAAAATTGAATTAATCATCAAAGAACGAAGGATTCTGAGATTCTGAGAAATTTACTCGACTGATGACATTAACTGACAGAAAGGATCTGTGGCAATTTCAAAAAAAAAAGATTATGATATTTCAATCAATAAGATTTGCTACATTTATTAGAAAAGATGGTTTCGTTGGCAATGAATGTACCACATTTACAACCGATATCCATACCTATAGTCGTTTAATATCATACCCACAAAAAAACAATACCAACAATGATGGCACACCCTGGCCAGAGAAAACGTTCAAATAAAAGGATAGAACACAACAGAACTAGACACTTGAGTGCCGGCCTCGTCCTGCATACACTATTCCACTATAGACTTTAGTAGAATTTGAACACAAGCCAAATAGCGATTCAGTGATTTAACCGAAGCAGAACACTGATTGTTTTTTTTTTCCGTCAGATTAATATTAGGTGACGAGCGGGCAGGCGGTACGAACTGGGCGCTAACCCACACTCGAGACGCAAACAGATAAATCTATCCTACTCGTAGTCTTCCTGTTCGTCTCAATCTAACCATATACATAAGCCTAACAACTCGAAATCGAACAACCCCAGATCCCCACCTCTAAATTTATCAGCCTCCAAACCCAACGACTCGATCAATCTTAACTCCAACTATTTTGAATCCAACGACTCGTTAATTCCAACTATGCCAATATTTACTATTGTTTATATATAGCGTTTTTGCGAAACGACGGCCTAAGCTGTGAAGGGCCAATGTCTTGGACCAGCCAGTGATTATGTAAACGGGTTGAATATTGCAGATTTGCTCGAGTATATTGGAAGTGTGGAAACAGCATCTCATAATACCTATACACGTGCTCAAAGATTCAGATTTGACGAACTCGAAAATTTATCAAAATCACTCGCGAAGCCATCTTCTAGTATAACAAAAGATATATGTAACAGCAAATTCTGTATCCAAGCAAAGAGTGTATTATTTTTATTATAAAAAGAGTTTTGCCTTTTGCGCCTCGGCCATCTCCCTGGCTAACGCAGCAACGCTATGCTTCGTCGATAAGTAAATCGTGTTTTCGTATATGCTCCGATCATAACTCTATATGGCTAAAGCGAATAAAGACAAAAAAAAGCAAGTGGAATATATCGCCCTTTAGGCAGACACAGTTTTGAACGGGCACAGCATCCAAGTAACTTACCTCAGATCATTTTATTGGTTGGTGCAGCGAGAGGAGCCGCTAATCGAAATGGTCAAAATTGAACCGCCCGCTTCATTTTTCTGCCGGACTGAGTTCATCTTTAGCTGTAAGATGAGATTTGCTAAGGCAAAACAAGGTACAGGCTCTCAAAATGTTGTCCTGCCTCTCATCCAGGCATTTTGCCATGTGACGTACAACACATTAGGTTGTCACGCACCGCCCGCAACAACAGAGAGGTTAGCTAATTTACCGCTCTCAATAAATTGCGTCACGGTTACAACTCAATTGCGCGTCTGATGTTTGGACAGAGTGTCCATTTTGGCACGTATTCGAACAACGGTAACAATTTTGTTGTCTGCTTTGCATCTCTTTCTATTGTAGCAGAAAAACATATGTGGCGTTGTAAATTACCGCTACCCTTTGACGAAGCGACGTTTTCCTGGCAAATGAAGCTGGGAGACAACAGAAAAAACAATAGGGGATTAGTTTTTTATGATATGTGCATAAGTTGTTAGGGAATTTTATGATACTAGTGCCCGGAACACTATTGTGAGCCGTGCTGTGTGGGCGGAGAATAGGCGATTGAAGCAGCAAGCAAATATTGATCGACACACTGATCGCTTGCCTGGCCACTGTCGAGGTTAGAACATTGGCATGCATTATAGTTAAGAACACTATAAAAAAAGGTCACGTACGTGCATTGAATAAGTTCATCATCCATCATGGAGCTGTTATCTTATTATCCAAATTATATCTATTTATTATCCAAATTAAACCTTCTAATTAGTTAATGTACTCTGATCGTAGTATATGCTTTTCAGTTTATTATCTTTCGTATTATGTCGACTGTTTAATCATCAGAAGTACTACCACTGTACTAATAAGATATATAATCCATAAAATAGTGTCACGTAATAACTATTCCTTAAACCGTGTGAATTTTAATAATTTCTGACCTTAACCCTTCGTGATACTATATATCCACGCTGAGCTGTCTTAAGTCTGAGGACATCACCAGTCCATATAACGAAAACCTCTAAGGAGTAGACAATGGCCGCTACGGGACGAAAGCCATGATCTCTACTGAAAGGACTAATCCTTTTACTACCATTTTGTTGGCCTATTTTTTTCATTGACCATTTTGTTGGAGTTTGTAAGTTTATATGAGCGCGAACGCTTCACGATAGTCGTATGGGATAGAGCAAACAATGGGATTCTTAACTGCAGTGGACTGTTCGGCGACTAAATTATCTCGCGGATAAGCGACTTTTTAAAATTTTAAGGTGGATTATACCTTGCCGTGCATCAGTATGTGTGTCATACAAAACCTACATGCCTAGAGAAGGTCTGGGTTAATACTTGCTTGTAAATAAACAAATACCGTAAATAATACCCCAAGTTGTATGCGAGCCTCTTGTCCTAGCGAACACGCCTTGTGCTGGATGGAGTGAGCCTTCCTTTGCAACATGTCAGCCCGACTATCCGTCCAATATAACAGAGGATAGTCCTTTTTGCCTGATGAGGAACTGGTTGAAAAAACGGGCTAGCTGTCCTATTGGCTTTATTTAGGACCGTATCCATAAAACGGAACCGGAAGGGAATGCTTGCAGAAGTAGCGTTCTAAGCTGAGCAAATACGGCCTGATCAACCATTTTTACCATAGAAGAGTTTTCGTTGGTTTGTCGAGAAAGAATAGATCCGTAGAAAAAATGTATTCAAATTAGTAGTAGGCCTGTTTATTTCGACCGCCATTTATTTGTAGAAACTTGCCTATGTTGGGTGTTTCGTAATTCGCGCAGAACGACCCGTTAAGTTTTTCAAGATGCGGAACCGATTGATCTAAAGTGAGGTTCTGATCGTTGCATTATCTCAGTGGCTAACGGCTGATAGCCTGATTATCTTTTTGATCGATCCATCGACTTTCTAGTTGCCTTCCATTTTCGGGAATCTATTGAGTGTTGTCTCAGTGTCTCTTTTTTTAGCTTCTTCAATCAGGGTTTTCACAATAGTTTTGCATGTGCTTTATAAGCGGATATTTTTTTCATTTTTTTTAGCTCCCAATGGCCCATAATGTTGAGTTTATGGGATTTCGGGTTGAATTTGTTTGGGACGGCCTCAAAGCTAGATTGTGTTTCGCCCTCTTTAAGGGCAACGGCCGTTTCGCTACCATGACGATGTATTGTTATTTGGTTGTTTCTAACTCCCCTGCTTATCGTCAGTCTGATGTAATTCTGGTATACCACCAAGGCTTTATGATTCTTTCTAAGTCCTTGTTTTTCAACGCTAAGTAGGTAGATCGAGATGGCTTCCCTTGATGTCACATACAGAGTTGGTTGTTGGGAACTCCTCAGACCTTCCTGGAGACGCGCCGCCATTAAAGACATCTCGGCAAGTAACCACTCTCATGAATAACCCTGACAACTATTTGCCCTGCAGCGGTAGCATTTTCTCAGCCAACTTAGTGGCTATGCGCTATCATGTCTACGCGTATGGCTTGGTTCGCAGTGCCCTCCAGAGAGGCTTTTCGAAAAGGTGCTTATCCGTGTGGCCTTGTCGCCCTTGTATACACGCTCTGCCCAGCCACAGTTGAGGAGAGCTGACGCCCTATGTTACTACAATGTTTTTTGTTTGTGAATTTGTTTTCCCTTAAATCTGATCGTAGTTACTTCAGAGTTCGTCTAGCATGCAAAGTTTATCATCCTTGTAGGGCCTAAAGTGGGTCTTGTTTCTGCATAATATGGTACGTCACTCTGCCAGTTTGATTCGCTTCACCATGCAAATTACATCACTGACGTAATCCCTGATCTTATTCCCAACATTCCTTCTATTTCTTTTTGTAGAATGTAGCTCCGATAGTTTCTTAGTCATATGAGGCACTGCGATATGCACGCGTTCGATGCAGACTTTCTTCCAGACGGAATTCCTTGTTGCTGGGCGGTACAGCTGGGTAAGTGACACTACACCCTATGCCATAAGAGATTCCATCGAAATAAATTAATATAGATATAAATAAGTTAACGTTGAACTACATATTCAATTAGAAAATCAGACTAACAATATAGAACAACACTTTTTAGTAACTTTGTTGTAAATGAAGTCCACTGCTTAGAGAACCATTAATACTAAATAAGTTTTAAATCAGATATGACCAGGGCGAACTTTAGTAAGTGTTTACATACATTTTTTTTAACTATATATATATATATATATATATATATATATATATATATATATCATACTTATATATTATATCTGTACTTATAAAGTGACTGGCTTTCATCAAAGACTGATCAGTTTAGAAACAAAGGGATCGTTTAGTGCTGAGAATTGAAGCCAGTGGACAATGAACCCATCAGCATTCCGTCACCGACAATAGTTCTTATTCTTATTCGGTCCACTTATTCCTCGAGCGGAAATTAGGCCGTCGAAGGCCGTAGAGAAGCTAAGTGCACCTCAATTCCGGCGACGAAAGATCGGGTTGCTCTAGTAGAAGCTTAGAGTAAATCGAAAAGTAAATAATGCGTTGCTTGCCGCTAAAGATGAGGCTTTTTATCCATGTGTCACAAACATTGACGGACCAAGTCCAGGATAAAGCGAAAGTTCGTAAGATGTACATTCAAGGTAATATGTTCAGCTATTACAAGCAAGATTTTCGTACAGAAAATATCGTCCCCACCTGTCCCATTCGGTGGTAGTGCCGAAAGGATTATGCCGTAATAAATACTAGTGCTCATATTTGCAATAGATATCAGGTAGTGTTTGTTGCTATGATTTGTGCCCGAAAAAAAAAACTGGTCAATGCAGTATCGTTCGAAATATCTCGGATTTATAGGCAGCAGTCGACCGCACGCCGTGTAGTTACTCGACATCAGATTTTGTTTTTACGGCCTGGGTCGAGAAAAAACAAAGCCGAGCGATATCTTCAACCCACATATTTCAAAAGTTAAAATTACTGTTATTCCGATTTCTTTAACGAAGTCTACATATACAGTCGATTGTCGTGGACAAGCCATAGATTACGGGATTAGCTATGAAGATTATATATATACTTATACGTGCTTCAGAGCGACGTGATTATTACAAAAATGGTACCCAAATAAGGACCACTGAGCAATACAAGCAAGACGACGGAACCACTAAAGTTATCGAATTGCTAAAATCAGGAAACCTTGAAATTTCAACAGTCATCGTTGTCTAGACCGCACGAATCGTTGTCAGAAACTACGTTCTGAATGGAATTACTGTTATATTCATCAGTATTATGCCATCCTCAATAGACATAAACGCCGATCCCGTCAGCACAAAAGCTTGTAGTGATCAAGATAGAACCGCACGCAAGCCATGCACTGCGTACTAGCCGTGTTTTACTGCACGGAAAATTGTTACGTTGGAAAGAGAAATAATCTGTACTTTCATATCCTCAAGACAGTGCCATACGTGGCCCACAGCTGACTGTTAATTAGTTTTTAGTTAGGGCTATCACCTCGTGGAAGGCGCAGATGATCGTAGTTTGAAGTAATAGATATTGATTAGATCGATGTCCTAGTGAGCCAATTAGATGATACATCGGGAAACAAACACTCAAAAAATGAATTCCTTCGGGTGGTATTTAACTTAAAGCAGAAAATAACTGAATTAAATAAATAAAAGCAATAAAGTATATTAAAAACCAGTGGTTAAAAGTTACTCCCGTCACCGGCCCTTCACTCCGTTGCAATGTATAATGTATAAATGTTTGATTTCATAGAAAGCTACGAGTAAACTTGTGACGTCTAATGAAACACAGTTGTACTAGTACAACCGTGGGCAAATGATGCTCATCCGCTGATAGCAAGGGTCAAACTATACGTGACAATCATACAGAACTAGTAGCGCAAAAGGACAGATAAGTTATAAACTTAGGTTTTGAAATTCAATCCAAATCAATGGATCGCTTATCTTCTGTTCGTTTGTTGTGTCTAGTATGTAATGTAATTTGGGCTTATATCAACAAAATACAAGCAAGACAGGAAAAAAAGATACGATTTCGGCTTTGCCTCATTCGTTTTCCTACGTTTCCGGCGAACAAGGTCTATGCAAGACTCCTTGTTTTAAGCGGGTAGACTACTTTTTCGCTTTGATGATCTCCTATATGAACCGGGGCATCCGAGCGAGGAACGACGCAGACCGGGTTAATCGTGTATGAATTGGGAAACGACATGGGTCCGGTATCGCTGACATTTTTCCTTTGTATTTCACGTGCTTTCACCACTAACGGCAGTGATGTTAGCGGGAGCGAATTTCCGAAGTACCGCCGGGGCAGCTTTTATTGGAAAAGCGATTCCGA